GTCCTGGGAGCAGGCGCTTACGTGCAGGTGTTTGGTGAGACATGGCTTAGAGCGTTCCCAGAATAGGGACCTGCCCTTCTTTCTTATAAGGGTTGGATGGCAAAATCATCATAAAGCGAAGATTGCATGTGGTCACATTGCCCTTAAAAGTCCCTCGCATCCTCTGTGAAGTGCACTAGGGCATTCTGAGTGCACGGTACCGTCTCAGAGATGCCAGCACTGCCTCTGGTTTTCTCTCCAAGTCGGAACAGAGCGCCCTCTTTTTGCTTGAACACGAGAGGAATCGTTTTGCTGCCTTCAGGGGCCATGCTGTATAAAAAACACAGTGTTTTGCCTGAATACGTCCAGTTGGATTTGTGTAGGGACATTGCTCCATATATAGGGGAGGATTGTACACCTTCTGGGCCAATGGGGCCCGTGAGGGAGAGGCCCCTGAGCCGGGGAAGGAATTCTGTAGGGAGGGTGAAGGCGTGGGGCCCGGCCGCGGCTCTCCCTCGCTGGCCTGGAGCAGGTTGCCTGGCCACCGTTCTGTTTCCTTGTGTAAAATGAGGATTCCACCTCCTCACAGGGTAGCGACAGCATTAAGCAAGAAAACCTATGTGACAGGATCATGCAGTTAGTTCTTGGCATGTGGGTGCTCAGTCAAGTTTTTAAAAGTTTTGGCTAAAAATCTCAAAACCAGGGGCGCCTGAGTGGCTCAGTCGATTAAGTGGCCAACTTCGGCTCAGGTCACGGTCTCACCTCGTGAGTTCAAGCGCCGCACCGGGCTCCGTGCTGACAGCTCAGAGCCTGGAGCCTGCTTCGGATTCTGTCTCTCTCCCTGCCCCTCCCCCACGCGTGTGCACGTTGTCTCTCTTTTTCAAAGATAAATAAACATTAAAAAATTTTTTTTTAATCTCAAAACCGGTTTTTATTTTATTGTATTTATTTTTTTAAAGCGTTTCAAACATTTTATTATTTTTTAAAATGTTTATTTTTGAGAGAAACAGAGACAGAGCATGAATGGGGGAGGGGCAGAGAGACAGCAAGACACAGAATCCGGAGCAGGCTCCAGGCTCCGAGCTGTCAGCACAGAGCCCGGTGCGGGGCTTGAACTCAAAAACCATGAGATCATGACCTGAGCCGAAGTCAGACACTCACCCGACTGAGCTCCTCAAGCACCCCATAAAACCAATTTTTTAAAAAAATTAGAAATGTAATATATATACTCACTCTAGCATTGAAGCAGCATTCTAACTGTGCTTGTTGCCCCCTGAAAAGCCCCTCCCCTGATCCCGAGGGACCCTGGGGACTGAGCTCCGTGAGGCGCCCGGAATGACTCCTCGTTCTGAGTGTGCCCTCTTGAGATCCACTGGAGGAGGACTTCTGTTTCAGGCTCTGCATAAGCAGAGGGTTTCAAGAACTCAGATGGCCTTAAAAAGTCCTCTTGTCAGGGCCTGGGAGTTTGCCTTTGAGGAGGGGGTTCTGGCGGATCTGCCTCAATGGGTAGAGTGTGGGTCGTCTCCCACTGACTGAACGTTCTTGTCCGCTGTGACTCTGTCCCTCCAGAATCGAAGTCCGGCTCTCGCCCCCGCAAGCCGCCCCCCCGGAAACACACCAGGTCCTGGGCCGTGCTGAAGCTGCTGCTGCTGCTGCTGCTGTGTGTGGCCGGCGGGCTGGTCGCCTGTCGGGTGACAGAGCTGCAGCGGCAGCCCCTGTGCACCAGCGTGAACACCATCTACGACAACGCGGTCCGGGGTCTGCGCAGCCACGACATCCTGCAGTGGGTGCTGCAGGCCGATTCTCAGCAGTGAGCCTGTCCTCCACACCTGCTGCCTCCCAGCCTTGGAGCTTGGATTCCTATGGAATTGGGTTCTGCTGGACACAACCTCTTTTTAGCGTCCGACCTACCTGCCATCATCAAATGGCTGCCGATTGGTACTTGAGATCCCCTCTTTGTAGGACTTCTCTGTTCCTTGGTCAGGGTCCCCTGGCGGAATAAGAAGTGAGACGTGGGGAGAGTTACCTGCATGCCTAAAGGAATAGGCTTGGGGTGGGGAGAGGGAAAAACGGCCTTTTCTAGTTGTTCTACAAAGCTGTGTAAAGGCAAGGCTCGTTTCTACTAAACGGTCAGGTCAGCTGTCACTACATTTATACTTTTGTATGTCACAAACCCTTTCTTTCATTCCTCCCTGGGCAGCCAGGGCAGATCAGGAGGCAGTGTGATTGGGGACTACGGGAACACCATACTCGGCAAATCTAGCCTAAATTGGGAGGGGGGTGGGGATACCTATTTTCTTAAGGACCTCAGACATTTTTAATGACCATATAAAACCTCAGGCTTTGAAAGGGACTTCAGGACCACCCAGTCCAATAGAACACTTGCAGACAGGGAAACTGAGGCCTTCTGTGACTTGCCTATGGTCTCCCAGCTAGTTGAGGCAGAACTGAACTCCTGCTCCAGTATCCTCTCTCTCTGTCATTTTGCTTCCATAATAATGTCAGGAGAGAACAGAAGTCACACCAGAACTGAGTGTCTCTCAGCTGGGGTGTAAAATCTTTGACGGTAGGCAAGCTTCATGTCCCACAAATAGAAATCTCATAGCCATGAGGGTCCTGGCAGCTCCTGTAGAGCCCTGCCCCCGGCTCATGTGGCTTTCGCAAAATGGGGACGGCCCAGGCTCCTTGCCTCAATTTTAGAGCATTAACTCCCTGATTGCCAGTAAACAACGAGGTGGACCATTGCAAAGCCATATTGTCTCGGGCAGCTGTTGGTAGTTGGTGTGACAAAGTAAGTCAGAGTCAACCTGAAAACTCCAAAGTTTCATGGAGATGGACGTCTACAATTGTTTGGGTCTAGACCTAGAACCACCTCTGCAATGAAGGGAAGCGAGTGGCACCACGGAGTTTAAAAGTGGCGCACTTCCTAATGACCAGCACAGACGGGCAGGACTGTCCATCCTCTTGTCTCCCAGATTATGCCTCTGCTTGCTCTGTGGCCTCCTTGGCCTCTCTTTTTCACAAAAGCCGGATGAAGGGAAAAAAAATGGCCATCATGGTGCTCATTCACTGAAAGGTCCCAGTTATGAGCTTCTTGTCTCTCCCTCAGGGGAACAAGAACCTGTCATGGTTCAGAGACAGAGTGAGGTCCGGGGTTTTTAGCCTTAGTGGCTCATTTGGATAGGATGGCCACTTATGACTGTCCTATTGGAAGAAGTGACTTGTTCCTTTCTCCCTCCCCAGATAGCTCTGCTGCAAAAGCCCATACCTTACTCAGAATCACTACACATTCCTTAGTCTTCCTCCAAGCTCCAGAGCCATAGGTACAAATGCTTTATTGAAACTAAACAGTACGTGACATGAGATTAAGAGGATATGGAAGTCCCCACGCAGGGGCTGGTTGAGGCGGCTTCAGTGGGTGTAGGAAGGCAGGGCACACCTGGCCCTAGTCAAGTCAACCCGCTGAGGGAAGTTCGCTCATGATCTCGAGATTTGATGCTGAGGTTCTTCTGGATTTCTACAATTATTAAATATGTGTCTGAGTGGTCTGTCTTTGTTTCTTTGTGTTTTGAGGGTTGAGGGCTGGCTGGGGGAGGGGGGAGGGGTGATTTGTGCACGGCAGCTGGGTTTTTGCTAGGAGAGGAAAATTAAAGGCTTGTGAAGGTAAACACAAGTATCTCAGCCATCTGTCCCAAGCTGACAGGGAGACTTCTGCAGATAAGGGTGCCCAGGGAACAGCCTGTGGTCCGACCCAGGCTTGTGCTTCAAGGAGGCGCGTCCAGTCTCTTCCTGTGGCCAAAGGCGGAGGAGATGCAAACCTCGTTTGTCATCCTTGTCCCCGAGGGCTGGCGTCAGTCTGCACTGTCTAAAGAGAGAGCTGGCTGCAGAGTGGTCATCTGAAGGTAGATCCGCCTGGAGAGCTCTGGTCCAACACGGCGGGAGGTGGAGGTCACACCTTCCCCACGGCGAACCTGTATGTCCGCAAGCAAATTCTGGCGCTCTTGCTCCGAAAAACACCGCCTGTAAGCCTGCAAGTGGCAAATGACCGCTCAATACTGTACCATCCAGTCACCCTTGTGCATCCATAAGGGGGCAGTAAGCTAGGGTGTTGGGGAGGAGAACCTGTCCTCCCCGGGTCAGTGTTAACTGCTTTTTGCAGGCCCACACTGTGGACCACCGGTGTGCCCCAAGGAAGCCGCCTGGGAGTCCACCGAGGCCATGGGGTGCCAGGTGGGGGGTGACCCCTGCAGCAGCATACCTGGACCAGACGCTGCGGGGAGGGATAGGTGTCCACAATGGCACTGGCCATGTCCAGGCTGACTCTGTTCAGCTGCTGAATCTGTCTCCTCCAGACCAGCGCGAGCCCCCTGCCAGCTCGGTCAACCTTTGCCCCTCCCGCCCAGTCACTCTCCAGGCAGAAAGAGAAACTGGTTTGATCTCGAAGCTTCCTGTGAATAGCAGTTGAAGAGTCATGAGTCAGTCACTCCACCTGTCTCCTCGGCTGGGAACTTAAAAACCCTCCCTCCTTCCACTGACCTCCCAAGAGGCAGGCACAGTGTTGTATCTGGCCTATTTGAGTGCTTTGTTCCCAAACACCGCTAGTTGCTGGTTCCCTTAAAAACACCACCTAGTCCTTTCCATTAAGAGAGAAAGCACCAAGAAAGTACCAGAGTGTTTCACATGCTGAAATTGGGTTGTGTTGACCAGAGAGCAGTGTGCACAAGGACAGACAGACACAAGGGACCGGGTGTCAGGCAATCGGGGAACCTGGTCCAGTTCTAACTTGCTAGGAGCTTAGACAAGGCACTCAATCTTAAGGCCTCAGTTCCCTCAGGTATAGAATGAGGAGGGACTTGGCCTGAATGGTCTCTGAGGTCTTTTACTAACTCTAAATTCCGACCACGAACACTCCTAGAACTAAGTAGGCTAAAAGTTTGTTTCATTAGAGGGCTTATTACACTGTGACCTGCCATGTAATGAAACCTGGCAACTTGGCTTACTGGTGACCCAGGGCAGCCTGCAGGCCACGAACTTACACGAACATGAGCTAAAGCAGAACATTTTACAGGCGCTAGGCTTGAGGGCTCCTCATGAGAATCCCCAGCATGAGGTCTGCTCCTTCCACGCCAGCTTGACCGACAATGAGCCGGCAGCAGACCCCGGGGGAAGAGGACATCCGCACAGAACCAGGCCTGGCGGTGGGGCGGAGACTTGCTGGGGGCACTCACTTGAAGGGCGCCTCGGCCACAGCCTTTGTAAATGCGCAGGCGAAGTCGGCCAGCTCTTTCCAGCTCTGCACGATTCGGGCCTGGGCTTCGGTGTATAGCTGCAGATCCACCAATGCCTAGACACCCAAAAGCGCGACAGGCTGGAAGGGCAGAGGGACTCGGCCTCGTAGAAGTTGCCCTCTCACACCCGCCAAAGCTGCACCCCAGCGCCATGGCTCCCTGTTTTAGCCCCTTCTCTCCTACTCGGTGCCAAGGCAGAGAGTCGTGTCCAGCAGGCACTTTGTTCCTTATCCACAGCAAACTGGGTTAGGGGAGAGTGAGAGCCCAGCCCGACTCAGGCAACACCGAGTTCTTACCTCTTCCACGTCTACCCTGGACACCATTTGCCCTGCGCTGGCCTCTGGTTGTCTCCGCTTCTTCTCCTTGGCCTGTTCTCTGTTTGCCACTCCCCGTTTCCTTCTTCTCGGAAGATGGGGAGCGCTGGAATCGGGGGGGGGGGGGGGGGGAGAGGTCAAAGAGCAGCAGCTCCAGGCTGAGCTCAGGCAGGAAAGGGGTGAAAAGACCAGACCAGAGGGTCCCACAGGGCTTGCCAGGGAGGACCCAGATATGCGATGAGTAAGTGCACCCCGACGGCCCAAGAGCTGCCCCTTTTCAGGCTGTCTTGAGGACAAATTCAAACCTGAAGCATTTCTCCTGGTCCACAATCACCAGGGACAGAGCCTTCCCAGCTGTCCTCGCTGCGGTGTCAGTTACGAAGCTCCGGAGTGTTTCCTTCCCTTTCTCAGAGTCACCCAGGCTTCCCTGCGCGAAGGCAGACGCTGCGTTAACGTCTGTTCCCTAGAGTCGGCCCTCTGCCCCGTGCCTCGCGGGACACTCGTCTCTGCCCACCTGCTTGAACTTGTAGACCATGGACACAAACGCCTCTGCCAGGAGCAGCACCAGGACCATCGGTTCCTCCACCCAGCCTTCCTCTCCATCCTGCCAAAGGACCCGGGACCCAGCAGTAAGGGGCAGCTCAGCAGGTGCTCAGCACCCGTGAGAGAGACCCAGGCCTTCTGGGTGATGAACTTATTCCCATCAGCCGAGCCCACTTGTGCAGTATTCTTCTGGAATGAAGCCGTGGTGGCCAGAAACGGTAACCCGTGATCCTGTCCCTCCCAGTCCTCCCCTGCTCGACCTTGGCATACTGCATCTCAGAGGCGGTGAGTAAAAGGTGTGGAAATGCTGAGAACTGCCAATGTTTCTGGGCGCTTTGGATAGGGGGGTGGAGGGGAAGGAAACTCTTCCAGAGGGGTTGGTACAAATAAGTAACTTGGCCCTTGAGGGTAGATGTTGACTGGGAGCTGAGTGGCCCTTACACACACACATAGGTTTTGTGTGACAGAGATAAGAGCCACAGGGGAACTTCCGCCTGGGAGAGCACCTTCTCTTCACCAGGGCCAACAATCCAGTGTCGCACAGTGACCGGGAGCGGGGCCAGTGCAGTTTTCTGACTGGGTCCCTGGAAACAAAAGCCAAGGCCTAGAACAGAGCAAAGTGCAGTGGGAGGAGCTGTGGGTTCTAGTTCCCGCTCAGCTGTGCTCCTCTGACCTGCCTCCCCCCGCCTGTGATGTGGGGGTAAGAACTCCCTCTGTGCGGGGTGACTGGGGCGACTGCGACTGACGCACGAGGGAGAATGCAGAAGTGCCTTGAAAGGTTAAGCTGCGACATGGATATAAAGATTTGCTAACAACCCAAATTAAAAAGTGTGCAATTAGGGGCGCCTGGGTGGCTCAGTCGGTTAAGCGTCTGAACCTTGATTTCAGCTCAAGTCACAATCTCACGGTTCGTGAGTTTGAGCCCTGGGTCAGCCTCTGTACGGACAGTGCGGAGCCTGCTTGGGATTCTCTCTTTCTCTCTGCCCCTCCTGTGTGTGCTCTCTCTCTCTCAAAAGAAATAAAATCAATTAAGAAAAAAAAGTATGCAATTGCCCTAAATTATTGAGCAAATGAGAGCCAAACGCAAGGAAAAAAAATTTTTTTTTTAATTTTTTTTTTCAACGTTTATTTATTTTTGGGACAGAGAGAGACAGAGCATGAACAGGGGAGGGGCAGAGAGAGAGGGAGACACAGAATCGGAAACAGGCTCCAGGCTCCGAGCCATCAGCCCAGAGCCCGACGCGGGGCTCGAACTCACGGACCGCGAGATCGTGACCTGGCTGAAGTCGGACGCTTAACCGACTGCGCCACCCAGGCGCCCCATGGAAAAATATTTTTAAGCAGGCTCCACACCCTAAGTGGGGCTTGAACTCATGACCCCAAGATCAAGAGTCAAGTGCTCTACTGACTGAGCCAGCCAGGTGCCCCAAGAGGAAAAAATCTTAACGTTTTCATCTAGAAACTCTTAAATGAGGGGTGGAGTATTGTGGATTCACAGACCAGATGAGTGGAAGGCACAGCAGCTGTAGTAACCTGGGAGCCCGGGCCAAGGAAGGAACATTTGCTGTGTGCCTGCTACGGGCCAGTGCTTGGTTATCTTAGTACCCACGACACGGGGCACCCAAAAGGATGTAACGGTGTCCTCATTTTACACACGAGGCACAAGGAGATGAAATAATTTGCCTAGGCTCATAGCCATAAAGGCCTGGGGCTGAGATTCAAGCACAAGCCCACCCATTCCCAAAGCCCAGCTAGAGAGAAGTAGAAATCCTGTGAGGATTACCTTCTCTCTGCTCCCCACGGATCCCCTCTCCCTCCTTCCCCACTCTGCTCCCTGCAGGAGGCCACATCACCAGGCTGTCTGGTGCAAAGGTTGGCGGGAAACCCAGGAGGAGATTGGAGGGAGGGAGGGAGGGAGGGAGGGAGGGAGGAATGAAGTCGAGATATTTCCCTGGCTCCCTCGAGATGGGGTCACTTAGGGTTTGCTACCTTCCTCTACTGGAGGTCAAGCCTCTCTCAAGGTGGGTGCTGTCTACATCTCTCTCTCCTGGATTCTGATAACCACTTCTCCCCTTCATCCATTCAGGCCGAGGTATGGTAAGAAACATGTCAGTGGTTCTCAACCAGGGGTGAGTTTTTCCCACAAGGGATGTTTGGCACCATCTAGAGACGTTTTTGATTGTCATGCCCGGGAGTGTGCTAACTGGCATCTGGTGGTTAGAGGCCAGGGATGCCGTTCAACGTTCTACAGTGCACAGGACAACCCCCACAACAGAGAATTATCGGACCTGAAATGCCGACCGTACCTGAGATGGAGAAATCCTGAGTTAATGGTGTTATCATTACCTTGAGGTACTGTGTCGTCCCTTGTCGTTTCTTTGTAGCCTGCCCACGCTTTACAAAACAGATCCTTTATTAAATCTTCCTCAAATTACCCTAAGTTGAGTGTGCCTTCTGTTTTCCTGCTGGGACCTTGCCTAATATTCTTAACAATAAAAGCACACGTATCGGGTGGCTCGAAGAGGGGAGGAGAGATGTCAGCCAGAAAGCTGCTACCTCAGCTAGCCCGGCCCTTCTCCTCCACGTGATGCTGCAAGGCACGGCCTGTGCCTCAATCACGCAGCGGCACTCCATGGACTGCAGCGCCCCGAGGAGCTGGCCTCCGCCTTCCAGCTGTAAGAGCACTGCAACAGACGACAGGAAAGGCGCTATCAGTGGGTGGCCCAGGAGCAGGAAGGGCCCAGCACAGGATGAAGACAGTTGCCAGGAGCACCTGGATCCAGCCCCACGATGATGTGCCTTAAGCATTCCTCGGGCCTCTGCGCTTTCAGCCTATTCACCAGGGCCGCCTTCTTCTGCCTTTCCTGTTGTCTCAGGGTGCTCTCCTTCCGGCTTGCTTGTCCCCGCGGCTGGCATCCCCGTGAGCCTCTCCTCTGGACCTTCTGACTATGCTTGGTTCTCTTCTGAAGTGGGGGGGCTTCAGCATTTGTTTTGGTCGCTGTCAAGCTGTCGCTCTGCACAGGGCAGGTGGCTTGGAAGGCTGGAAGCTGATGGCACAGACGGTCTCCCACAGGGTCCCTGTTACTTGATGAACGTCTCTCTGAGGTGTCACGGAAGGAGGCATCAGGGACCTTTGGAAAGGACTGTTTTTCCCAGCCGCATGATGCTCCTTCAGTACTCCGATGACCCCACACAGTTTGAATCGGGGAGCTAGCGTCCTCAGGGCTCAGCTGCTTGCGGGTCAGAAACTTACATGTAAGCCTCTGGGCCAGGGGGATTAATTCTTCCTCATCCTCACTTCCACTGCTTAGCACCCTGACTGGCTCCGTTTGTGGGACAGGTTCCGCTATGTCTGGGACAGGTGGTGTATCTTTCAACTTTGGTGATGGAGGACGGGAGGCCTCAGAATCCGAGGTGTCAACCACAACAATCTTCTCCCTCTGAGGCTGCCTCCTCTTCGTTGAAGACGCTTCCTGCTTCAGAAAGGCAAACGTTGGCAACTCTTCAGAGTCACTCTCACTGGACTCCAGCGACAGTGATGACTTTGTTAGAGCCATCGATAGGCGCTATCAAATTAATTCCCTAAAAGGAAAAAGAGAGATGAGACACAGACTAGCACTGAATTCAGTCCAGTAGACACGTTCTGTGGCCCAACTTTACGGAAATACATACGGTATCTAGAGAAACAGAAAAGACAGGATGCGGTCCCAACACATTCAACCTGGCACTCAGCTGTCTGTAGCCTAACGGGACGCCTCAAATCCCTTCTAGGTCAAGGCAACCTATAAACAAAGTGGAGATTACCATGAGAAAATTTCAACGCCAAGACTCAACACCACCCCTGGTTGATCTCTGCATTTGACACGCAGGTTATCAAGGCATCCTTTCTTTAAAGATTGAGGTGGGGGCGCCTGGGTGGCGCAGTCGGTTAAGCGTCCGACTTCAGCCAGGTCACGATCTCACGGTCCGTGAGTTCGAGCCCCGCGTCAGGCTCTGGGCTGATGGCTCGGAGCCTGGAGCCTGTTTCCGATTCTGTGTCTCCCTCTCTCTCTGCCCCTCCCCCGTTCATGCTCTGTCTCTGTCTGTCCCATAAATAAATAAAAACGTTGAAAAAAAATTAAAAAAAAAATAAAAAATAATAAGATTGAGGTGTAACACTGCGTAGATAGGCCACACTTTGTTTATCCATTCAGCACTGACGGATATTTGGTTCGTTTCTGGAGTTTGCCCATTATGAACAATGCTGCCGCGAACATCCATCTCCACGTTTTCGTGGGGGCGTGTTTTCAACCCTCTTGCACATACACCTAGGAGTGCAACTGTTGGGTCGGGTACAAGAATCCGTATCTTTGAATAAACACTCACTAACACTGTAGGTGTGACCCCCGGATGAGCCACCTAACCTTCCCCAGCCTCGCTTTCCAATGTAGCAAGATAGGGATGATAACAATACCTACGTGGTAACATTGTTGAGGAGTAAAATCGTGCGTCTACAGCGTTCGGTACAGCAAGAGGCACACACGCTAAGCACTCAGTAAACACGCTGAATGCCTCCAGAGGGACCTCCTCCCGGTCCCCTCCCTGGGTCTCGCATTCGTCCGGCAAAACGAGGCTGCCTGCCAGACGCGCCCGGCTCGTCCACACCGCGCGGCACAGCCCCCGATGCCCTGGTCACCCAGGCCCTGCAGAGGGGTGCTCAGGAGGTAGGCACCCGCTCGCCGCCCGCCGCGCCAGCACAGCGACGCTCCCCCGCCGCTCCCCGCGCCACTTTTTCAACGGCCGCGAAGACCCCGGAAGTAGATCGCCCGGTAGCGGAAGCAGGTCTCTGAGACCGGAAGCGAATGTACGGCAAATATGGCGTCGGCGGCGCTGGCGCTGAGGACGCGGGCGGCCGGTAACGGGACGCCGCGGCTGTTGCGGGGCGAGGGGTGCCGGCGGAGCGGGGGCCCTGCAGGGAGCCTGGGGGTGGAGGCCGTTCTCTGCGGAGGACACTGGGCGCGGAGTCGGGCGTGTGGGAGGGCCCACGAGCTTCGAGGGGCGGCTGTCACCGGTCACGTGACACGCCTCGGGCGGCCGGCAGTGGGTGGTGGATGGGTTGGGGGAGCACGTGTTCTTCCTTTGCCGGGCGCGCCAGTACAGCTTCCCTGGCGCTTGGTGACTTGGGCACCTCGCTTCCACTCCCTGGTGTATTTGGATCCCTTCATCTATAAATACTGTACATTGGTGCCCCCCCCCCCCCCAAATAACCCGCTCGGTCTCTGTGCTAGACTGTGGTTCGGTGTTGGGGATCTCAGCAGAGAAGATGAAGACAGTCTCTGTCCCCCGGACCGGTTCTTTCTAGTGGAGAAGCCAATACATAATAAGCACGTACACAAAATGGTTTTAAATTGTGACACGTGCTGTTAAGGAAAGCAAAAATACGTGTGTGGGGGTGTCTTTTCTGGGCGCGGGGGGTTGGTGATTAGGGAAGGCCTTTCAGGAGGTGACATCTAAGTTAAGACCCAAAGCACGATAGGAGGCCTAGCCCTGTCGGAGAATAAGGGGCCGGAGAGTGACTCACGCCAGTGTTACATTTTGAGAAGCAAACAGCTGCTCTTACGTGAATTTAAAGAGGGTTTTAAGAGTGGAAACGAGGAAACCAGATGGGAAGCTGAAATGGGAGCCTTGATGAGAGAGGATTTCCCCAAGATGTTAGTGTCAGTGAACTTGGAGGGAAATGGTGGGTGGTTTTTAAGATCTGTTTGGGAGATAGAGCCCAGAGTTTGCTGGTGAGCTGGATATGTGAGATGAGCCAAGGGAAGCGATCTGCAAGGTCTTGATTTCTTCCTGAGCAACTGCATAGGTAGTCGCATCATTTACTTTGAGGTGAAGGATGGGGAGTAGGCTGAAAGGCAAAGATTTATGAAAGAGAAAATGTAGGTAAAACAAAAGCCCCATTCTTCAGCTTAATAAGAGGATGAATAAACGAATAGGTTTAAAGGTAGATAGATCCCGGTGCTGGGTATTTAACATGTCTTTTTGAGCATTTATATCTGGTCCTTTGCCCCAGCTACTCTCTGTGCTCATTAAAGCTTCAGAAACCTGGTTTCAGGAACACTGAACTTGTAGGCGCCGGGGACTCACAAGACTTCTCTAAAGACTCTGGCATAGCCCTGGCTGTGTCCGGACATCTGAAAGCAAGGACTGCCAGCCCTGTGCTTGTCATATAGCAAGGGGCTTCTAGCTTGGTTAGTGGGAATTTTAGTTCACTTCCTTTTTCAGAAGTAAAAGCCGTTGAGCATTTCGGAATGCGTATGGGGAGGTCAGGTTGTCAAGGGCAGGGTGTCAGTCTTGGCTAGGACCTGTGCTGGATAGGCTTGCCCAAGAGAATCTAGCCTTCTGAAATGGCTGGGAGCCTGTGGGAGCCACCCTCAGAGAAGCTGCCCTTTTTTGTTTACACGTATCTGGTGTGCAGTGGATGGGTGGATGGCTGAGAAAGTGGTGGGTGAGGCCCAAGCAGGACCCTCTGTCTGGGTGTCCTGTTGCTGGGCCCTGTGGTCTGGCCCCTCTGCAGTGCCTGGAGCTTTGACGACATGTGGTGAGTGAGGCTGAAGCCAGCAGCTCTGTGGTGTCCTCTTGATGGCTTCTGTTTCTGTGGTGTTTGTCTCTCCTCAACAGGACTGAATGTGTCAGGACCCAGGGCACATGGTGTTTATTTATCTTCCGTGAATATTTCACTACCCACCACCTCCCCTGGCCACACACACTCTTCGCATGAGTGCATACACCCAGGACAATACAAGGAACGACTTGTCCCCTGCCGTGGGAGAAGGCCAAGGGCTTGCAGACACTCCCTGAAAACCAACACAGTCAAGTGGCATTTCTGCTCACATATCTTCCTCCCCTCCCCTGCCACTGCCCCCCGTCACCTCTCAGCTTAGCAGATGGCCCATTGAGGCAGAGGAGGAGTGATTGGGAGCCTCTCTGAACAACTTTTCTGTTCTGTCTGCAGTTACAACCCTGCTGGGCCCCCCTCAGACTGCGTCTCTTGCTGTCAGATACGCATCCAAGAAGACAGGCGGCAGCTCCAAAAACCTGGGTGGAAAGTCACCAGGCAAACGCTTTGGCCTCAAGAAAATGGAGGGTGAGAGTGTGCCTTGGCTTCCACTTCCCACCTGCCCCCTCCCGTGCTGTCCCCAGCATTCCTTTGCAGAACAGGAAAACCACGCACACTCCTGGTCCTCTGCTCTGCACTTAGCTCGCCAGAGCACTTGGTTCCAGATTCCAGATGCAGAGAAGACCTGGGGCAGGGAGGGGGTCCTGAGGAAGAGCAGATAGCTGTGAACCTGGGCCACGTGACTGGAGAGAGAAAACTGGCAGAGGGAGACCCGGAGCTGCTGCTGCATGAAGAAATTGACTTTGTCCAGGGTCAGGCTTAGAGGTTGGCGTGCGGCACTTGGTCCAGGAAAGCGAGGGCCGGTGTGTTTTCCCAGCAGTTGGCTGTGCTGCCCCAGCACTGGGGCCCAGCGTCAGTGTGCTTGTGGACTTCTCTTTTAGATCACTACGTTCATGCCGGCAACATCCTTGCGACTCAGCGCCACTTCCGTTGGCACCCGGGTGCCCATGTGAGTTGCTCCATGGCCCTTTCCCCTTTGTCCTTTCCCAGGACCACCTCTCTGTGCTCCTAAGCATGATAGTAAATAACAAAACAGTTGCGTTCATTGGGTACTTATCAAATGCCAATCATCATTTTGCTTCCTGGGCCTGCATTATCTCGTTTCATCCTTAGCCCATCCCTGTGATGCGGTGATGGCACTGTGATGGCACTTCCATTGTCCAGGTAAGATGCCAGAGACTTAGAGAGTGGAGGGGTCCACGTGACAGAGCTGGGGTTCATGCGAGGGATGCCTGACTCCCGGTCACTGTGCCTTGCCTTGTGTAGCAGCAGCCTGGTTCTCTCGGGTCTCCTTTCTAACCCCCACCTGTTAGAGGAGGAGACACTTAGTGATCTGAGATATTTTTTGAATCTGGGGAAGCTAATTCCAGTGTATTCCTTTTTCTTTCTTTCTAATCGCTCTTTTGCACGAAGTTAATAGATGGCTGAAAAAGATAGTTTGGATTTAATAAATACAGCGGACGTGCAAGAAATCAGGTCTACAGCAGGCAGGGATTTCAGCTTCAGCAAGCTGGGATTACTTTCTGACGTAGGAAAGATCTTTGTCAACGCAGATCGGTACGAGACTCTTCACGTTATCTTAAATGTTGGTTTGGTTTCCTTTGGAATCCGTTTCCCCTACCGCCCCTTTTTTGGCAATTTTAGGAGGCACCGAAAGACTGATAGTAGCCAATACTTACGTCAGAAATGCTAATTTGTATGTGAATTGATTGTACTTGCAGGAGCTTTGTCTTTTAGAACTTGAGACATTGGCTGTGTGGCTGTGTTAACTCTTGGGACTTGCCAAAGTAATAACAGCGACAATAACAAAAGCTAACATGTTGTGAGCTAGGCAGTATTCTGAGCTCTTAATGATGAACTCGTTTATTCCTCGAGTTGACCCCATAAAGCAGTTAATATTACCCCCGTTTTGCAGATGAGAAAACCCAGACACAGTGAAGTAACACAGCTCGTCCGGGTCACACGATAGTAGGTAGTCGTGCTGGGATTTGAACCAGGCACTCTCGCTCCAGGGCTCATTCCTTTAGTCAGAGAAACACTGAGTACCGTGTTGCCAATCTCAAGCTCTAAAAGAAAAATGCCAAAATACATACAGTTTACAAACCGTGTATGCAACTCGTAGTTTATTTAGTTTATTCTCTGCTCATAGTCTTCGCCCAGAGAACAGCTAGAAATAAACAGCTGCCCCGGCAGGTGAGAGTTAACCGAGTTGATGCACATATCAGCGGATACCATTGGTACTGCTGTTTTGTTGGTGTACGTGTTGCCACACATATGGCCTTGCTCTGTCCTTCCCGTGAAGCCTGAACTTTAGAGATCACTGTTTGGATGAAAATATGGCAAACGTAAAAAAAAAAAAAGAAAAGAAAATATGGCAAACGTATGTTTACTCTGACAACTCCAGCGCTTTTTCATTTTTTTTTTTTTCAACGTTTATTTATTTTTGGGATAGAGAGAGACAGAGCATGAACGGGGGAGGAGCAGAGAGAGAGGGAGACACAGAATCGGAAACAGGCTCCAGGCTCTGAGCCATCAGCCCAGAGCCTGACGTGGGGCTCGAACTCACGGACCGCGAGATCGTGACCTGGCTGAAGTCGGACGTTTAACCGACTGCGCCACCCAGGCGCCCCCGCTTTTTCATTTTAAGCGAGGCAAGCTCCCAAGGGCAGTGATGAGGGGCAGTTTCCCCGGGCCTGGGGTTTGGGGATTTGTCTGGTGTGGCTTCTGGCCAGCTGCACAGACACGGGTCCAGATCCCAGCCTTCGGGGACGGAGCAACCCCGTGGATTGGCTGTCGGAGTTTTTGTTTTCCCCCTTCTGTCCCAGGGTCGGTAAAGAAGTAGAAGTCAAGGAAGTGCCAAGCAGTAGGAAAGGGAACCCAGGGTAGAGCTTTCTGATCTCCCGTTTGGGCCCAGGGCCTGAATCCTTACGAGAAGTTTGTTCTGAAGCCCTGGGATGGACCACCTGGCCGTCGGTCCAGCTGACTGGGTCTTTGTGTTGCAGGTGGGGCTGGGGAAGAAGAAGTACCTCTATGCCCTGGAGGAGGGGATAGTCCGCTACACTAAGGAGGTCTATGTGCCCAGTCCCAGCAACGCGGAGGCTGTGGACCTGGTCACCAGGCTGCCCAAGGGTGCTGTGCTCTATAAGACTTTTGTCCATGTGGTTCCTACCAAGCCTGAGGGCACCTTCAAACTGGTGGCTATGCTTTGAACTCCTGGTCGAGGCCGCCGGACAGAGACTGGAGCCCAGGTGACAGGAGAGGATGGCAGCAGCAGAAGTCAACGGTTGGCACGACAAGGTCTGCTGAGGACGTCTGTTTGGTGGTGATTGCAGAAGACTCTGAAGTGACTGGCTCTTGGGAGACCTGACCTGGGGCCAGAAATAAAGTGTGCTGGAGTCACGAGTCTGTGCTGTGTGGGGATAAACCTGGATGGCGCTGCTTGCTGCTTTTTTGGCCCTTACCCACGTTCTGTAGTGTGCACCACGGAGCACCCTCAAAGCAGAGAAGCGGCCTGCCAGAGTGAGGAAAAGAGAAGAGGGGAGTGTGTTTGAGAAGGGATTGCTTTAGAGCCATCTCCCCGAGGGGAAGGAGGAGGAGAGCTTGTGCTTGAGGGTGTCACTGCTCCTTCTCCCCCAGGAACCCATCCCAGGCCGGGTCCTGGGGGGAGTGGGGGTGTGGGGGAGGGGCCGTAAAGGAAGCAACATGGTCATGTCCTCTCCTGGAGCCATATTTGGAGGGAGCTGGGGCTGCAGCCCCAGGAGTGGCCACATGGTCAACCCCTGTCTGACTCTGTGGGTCCAGCGTAGAAAGCCCCATCTACCCTGGAATACCCAGGTCCTTTCAGTGATGAGGCAGAATGGGTGACAAATGGGCTGCTTTCCATCTCCTGGGGAAAGACACACCCACCTCACATCCTTTTCTGGTTCTTGATCTATCACAAACCATAAACAGCAAAGGATCTGGCTTTAGGAACTCAATCTGGGCCTGGACTGGGCTGGGGCCTTCACTGTCAGTCCAGCCCAAGACCTTAGACGCTTGGCTTCGAGTGGCAAGGCCAGGAAGAAAGTCTCAGCTGGGGCAGAGGGCTGTCTTGGCTGTTGGGGGTGGGCAGTTTGGGCTGCAGCCCCAGCAGGGCCTGTAGGGTCCAGTGGCTTCCTTCCAAGGACTCTCAGCCCTGCAGGCAGGAGCTTCAGGGACCGGGGCACAGAAGCCTCCCAACCTAAGAAGGTCTGCCTTTAACTTGTCACCTTATTTTCTCAGGACACGACCCCAGATTCTCCACCTCCTGCAGATCCTTGGCAGAGGTGGCCCAGGGTTTGTTGAGGTTCACCTTGGCTTCCTTCTTGTGGGGGCTCACGTACCAAGGCCCAGCTGGGGGAGATGGCTGGAGGTGTCTCTGTAGGCTCAGCACCGTCCCTGCCAGTCCTCTGGAAAAGCAGAAAGGGGCAGGATGGAAGAGGGTGTTCCTCCTACACAGTGGTGTTTCCCTGAGCAGAGCAGGTGTCGCTTCATGGGGTGGATGAGCAGAGCCGCAGTTCGGTCGTGGTGCAGGCAGTGACCTGAGGGCCTCGCCTCCTCAACTTGGTGACAGCTGAGGGATAGGAGAGTAAAGGCGTTAGCCGTTCCCTGACACACCAGCCTTTCCACCCGCCCGTACACACGTCCTTTCTTTTGGCTTCAGCTTTCTGTGTCTCCTCTCCCCTAGTGATGTTCCTTCCTGGAGACAAGCTGAGTCGTGGAGCTGTTGGCTGCACAGAATCCCTTCCGCAGGAGCCTGTTCTGAATCCCAGGGCAGACACCCCCTGGGCTGGGGTCTGCCATCCTTCCCTCCACCCGAAGAGGTGAGGTGGGGCCTCCTCTCAAAGCCTGGGGCTCTCCACCAGTGACCCCTTCCTCATCCTGGGCTCTAACTGGGCATTATGTATCAGAGTAATATGAACAAAAGCTCAGTTGTCCAAGGCGCCCAAGGTTAGGAATGCCGAACATTCGCCTCTTTGCAGGCCCAGATCCCGAAGCGCCGTGCAATCAGCTGGTGAACCTGCTGCTGCTGGGTCTTCTTTCGAATACTCTCATAGCTGGGCAGGTGAGCCAGCTGCCACAGAGGCAGCTGGTAGCTGCTGGGAAGCCACGCACAGAATAGCCCTGTGACCAAGAAAAGCTGAAGGGGGGGCAGGCAGGCACACATGACCCTTTAGCTTCCATCCAGCTAAGGGTCTTAGCTGGGGGAGCTTCTTCCCCAGGATGAGTCTGAGATTGGGGTACCACTCGGCCTACGCTCCCAGAAGTCTCTAGGCATCATCCCATCCCTAGCCACCCTGAGCCCCTGGCCTGACTTCAGCCTCCCCTCCCTTCCCCTCCCTCCCCCCCACCCCAACATCTCTCTGCTGACTCCCGGGTGACAGCCCCAAGGATCCTCCCTCACGTGTGTCCCCTGGGAATCTCAGCAGCTTCCCACTGCCTGGACTTCGCTAGGGTGTCCCGTGGTATGGAAGCAGGAAGGGTGGCAGTCCTGGGGAGCATGAAGGATGACTGAGTAAACTCAGGATTTGGGGTCAGCAAGCAAGAGAGCAGAGCCCAACCCCTTCTGTCCCTATGGCTCTCTCCCTCTAGTTGTCTCCAGGCCAAGGCACAGAGCTCAATCCTCTGCATCTCAGAGATGCACCCGGTGTAGAGATCCCAGTCCTCTCTGACCACTTGCTCATTCTCACATGACCTGGCAGCCGGCTCTGATGACCTTTGAGAGTCAGAGAAAGCCTCCTCCTCCTGCCCTGGGGAGGTTGCAGGTCAGATGATTCCTTTTGCTCTCTGTACCTAGGCTCCCATACGGTATCCTGTCCCTGGGGAGCAGCCTGACTGTAGTCACCACCTCTCTCCAGTGAAGGCAGCGCTCTGGGCTTTCCCCTGGGAACTAGGGAGAGGGTGGGCCTCCAGTTGCTTATAGAGCTGGGGTGAGACCACTGTCCTCACCAGCAGCTCCCAGCACTGGGTCCCAGTTAACAATAACCAGGCAGGACGCTGACAACGTTATTAACCTTTTCCATGCTGATGCTCTGGCCCCAAGGGAACCCAGGCTGGGAGTGCAGAGTCCGTAACGCTACCTCCTCCCCGCCCCCAGGGGCACAGGTCAAGGGTCCAGCCTGGACCTGGCACGCACAGGCCCACCTCACCTCCCCACATTGGAATCCTGCTCCAGAAGTTTAGTAGGGTTGAGCTGGCCAGTCTGACGTCAGCTTGACAGGCAGGGGAGACTGGGGTGCGGGCAGCTCCCTTTTTGCTGCTGCATCAACCCCCTGCGGGCAGAGATTTATTTAGGAGAGCCATGTAGCTTTATCCTGTCTCTTTCTTCAGTTCGGGGAAGTGATGTGTGGAAGGAGTTTAGAGAGGGACAAACCTGAGGAGAAGGAACTTGTGGCACCCTTAGAAGCTGTGAGTCTGAAGGGAAAGGGGAGGACTCCAGAGCTTGAACTCTGACCCCAGTGCCCAGCCCCTTCTCCACTGTGACAGACTGTGGCATCTCAGAACTCGGCAGGGAAGGGACTAGCCATACACAGCATTCTTCCCAAGCGGCTTACCCTAGGTGACCCTACAGATGAAGAGGCTGGGCTTCTGGCCTACGGTGAGGGGTCAAGGGTACATCTGATCCAACCCTGGCACTCACCAGTGGCTACAACTAGGACGAGGGAGGAGGCTGTTGCCCATGGTGGTCTCTGCATGCAGAACAGCAGTGGCAGAGGGGTGCCAAGACAGGGCATCGGCCTTGAGCCGCCTTGAAGACAGTCGGCAGGGCCACAGGACCGCTGTCACCAGGCCAGGAGCAACTGCATTCGAGGCAGGGTATCTGTGAGCAGGTCTGCCCCTGCTGGACCTGCCAGTACCGTGCCAGGACCTCCTGTCCCACAGAGGGCGCTCCCCTCTGTGGACCTGGCAGCCACCAAGTCCCCTCTACAACCTTCAGAAGGGGTTTTGGCAGGAATGGGCTCAGCCTCTTCTGCACCCCATGGCCAGCCAGGGGAGCTCCAACTGGCCCAGACCTCTGTACTCCTCGGTTCCAGATCACCTCGCAGGAACTCTGGCCCGCCACTTCCCATTGGCCCAGGTAACTGGGCTCTGGATGCCAACTGGCTGTCCTCTGGTCTCCGCTCCTGCCTCTAAGGGAGCCGAGGCATCCACGGTTGCTCTGGAAACCGGGCATGGGCCACAAAACGCAAAAGCCTCTCTGCAAGGGATCTCCCCCCTCCTTCCAAAGGAATTCTCCCAGCAGCCTAGGGGTCCAGCCTGCCCCAGAAGACCCCCCACCCCCACCCCGTCCACATCCCGCCTGCCCTGAATCCTGATCTTGACCCCAGGGGCCCCACCAGGAGAGGATTTCAAAGAAGCCTCAAAAAGCCCAAGCCTCCAGGTTCAGCTCACCCTACAGACAGATGGGGGTGAGGAACACGGCGGAGAAGCTGCACTCGCTCTTGCCTCACTGGTTTGCACAGCAGAGAGGACAGGAGAGGAGAGCTGCCTTCTGAACCGGCCCAGGTCCTGCGATGCTTCCAGCTCAGGAGGCCAAAGCAGGCCCGCCAGAGCAGTGCGGGTGGAGCTGGCCTGCACATTAGAGTCTCCTGGGGGAGGGGCGACTGCTCAGGTCAGGATCTTCGGGTTCATGAGTTTGAGCCCCGCATTGGTCTCTGCATCGGTCTCTGCTCTGAAGGTGTGGAGCCTGCTTGGGATTCTGTCTCTCCTTCTCTCTGACCTTCCCCCGCCTGTGCGCACAGGCACAGTCTCTAGCGCTCTCTCTCAAAATAAACACAATCTCCTGGGGGAGCTTTGAGCCCATACTTTCCCTGGGTTCCCTCCTCACACCAGTGAACTCTGAACCCTCAGTCAGGATGCCAGGCCACTAGGCTAAAAGTGCAAACTCAGAACGCCCACACCCGGGGACAGTCCAGAGTAATAAGTAACAGAGGGCCTGGTGTGATGGGGTGAGTGTGGCAGGGGCCGAGATGGCGCTCACGCCCCACCAAGTTAAAGAGACAAGACTTTGGAAACTGTTGCACTAAGCCCAACAGCAGCACAGCCCGGGTGAAATCTGCCCGCTGGACGGCAAGTCCTCAGCCAGCAGAGTCTCATGTTCTGACCCTTACTGCCTGTGCGTAACAGGCTGGACCCACTTAGCAATTTTTCTTTTTATCGACCTGAGAGTCGATGTGAAAAGAAAAAAAAAAAATTCTAGAGAATCGGAGGGGAGTTTCAGATGTTCACAAAAAAAGCAGCCGGAAAAAAAGTCATCCTAGCCCCTAACCCGAGCACTATTTCCTGGGAGATCCTACTGTGGGCTCCTTCCTGGTTCGCCACCCTAAGGACAGCAGGGTGTAGTGAGAGTGGTTCGGAGGCAGGAGGCAGGCGTCTGTGAGGCTTGCTGCCACCACCTGATAGCTGTGGGCTCGTCATTCCAGTCTCCTAATGTGCTACATGCTACATGCAGGTAATAAAAGTTCCTGCCTCACAGGTTGGGAGGATGCCACAGGACGCCGCCTGCAGGGTCAGCACGCGGGCTGCAAGCACAACCCCAGGGCTGTTCCTGGCGGGCAGGGGTGCCCTCTCCTGGCAACTAGGAAAACTGGGCGTGAGGCCGTCTAGGCAGGAACTGAGCCCTTTGTCCCCAGGCGTGATGTTAGGACGGTTTCAAAGGTCTGAGAAACCCTCGCTCCTGCATTAGGTAATGTGTAAGGGGCTGATACGGAGCCCTTGCTGACAATGGCGGGAGAGTTGGAGGGAGAAAAGCCTTGGGCAGAGGAGGGAGGCTGGACAGACCTTTCCAGCCTGGCCCTCCCAGGTCTTGGGGCCGTAGCCACGGCCCCAAGCCACCGTGGCTCTTGCCCCTAAAGCTCTAACAGTACCGATCAGGCCGTGGCTGGGGCTGCCTCCATTCTCAAGGATGCTCCAGAACTCAGAGCTGGGCAGGAGAGTGAGGAGGGCTTGTGGGATGGGCCCTCATTATGCCAACGGCAAAGAAGCCACATCTGCAGGAAAGCGCTGGGTCAGGACCCATGAGAACTGAACTGGCTTTTGTGCCGGCCTACTGCGTGGCAATGAGCAAGTCTCCAAGCCTCTCTGGGCCTGCTTAGCCCCCAGAAAAAGAGGGAGCTGCTTCAGATGGGTTCTTGTATCCCTTCTGGCTCTTGGATTCTTAAACCGTTCCCACTCTAGGCAAATGGGACCTCCACCTTCTCACGGCTGCCAAGATATACCAGCGAAGACGTTTCCAGGGCCCGACAGTGATGGCTTCCCGACACCCAGGAGGAAAAACACAGAGGCTCGACTTAGAGAGATAGAGATATATTTCTTCTGTTGCATATTTCAGACTTCACACTGAGCTTCAGGCACAATGCTGTTCTAGGTTCTTCTGAGAGCCCTGACAGAGCCTTCTTCCCACAGTGCTTGTGAGGGCTCGCCCTCCCGGGCGGGAGCCCAGGCCCTGCTTGCAGTTCTGGGTACCTGGGAGACTTTGCATTGGTCTCAGCAGGCCCTGGTGCCCTGTGTTGCCCATCAAGGGGCAGGACATGCTGGAAAGCCCTAGAACCAGCCCCACCCCTTCTTCCACGGTCCCCTGGCTACAAGAGGAGAGGCTGTCCCGCTAGAGTCCAGCTCTGCAGCGCTCCCCCAAATCACCTGTTCTCCGGGCCTCAGAGCCTGGCATGGCACTTGCACCCCTGTAGAGCCTCAGCCATGAGCACCACAGGCCCCGGCTGGGAGACGACGCCCTGGAGAGTGAGGCAGGCCCAGCCTCCTCCAGAACAACAACAGATGGGCTCGTCAGGCCCCTGCTCCCCAGAGCCATGGCCCACTTCCTGGAGCTGCCCTGAGCCCTATTGCACAATTTCGTTTCCAGTTCCTCCCCCTACCACCCGTTAAAAAAAAACAAAACAAAAACAAAAACACACACAAAAAAAACCCCAAGAAACCTAGAAGGAAAAGTGAGGAAGAGTGGGGCGTGGAAGCTGGAGCCCTTCTCCCCACACTCCTGCCAACCTCTGGTCCCCAGCAAAACCATTAGCAGGAAGTGTGATGCCCACCTTCGCTGCCGCCCGCGCGGGTTCGTGATGGCTGGCGTGGGTGTGCTGCCTGGGCTTCTGGTTCTTGCCTGTAGGGAGGGGACGTCCCTCCGCTGTCTGTAAGGTGCAATTTCCCCCGGGGTCATCCGGAGGTGCTGGCTGGGGCCCTGCTACCTGAGTCGCCCATCTGCTTTGACGGGCCCCAGCTCTGATTTGGGGTCGGGGAAAACAGAACTCCAGCTGGTCAGTCTGCAGAGCTCCAGGGAGGGGCAGGTGGAGGGGCCCATGGCACACAGTCCGGCCACAGACCAGAAGCCACTCAGCTCCCCATCTGTCCAGGCCTCGAGTGCCGGGCCCGTGAGCTCCGCGTGCCGGCGGGCGGCCTCCTCCGCGGGCTCTGGCTGAGGCAGGTTCAGGATGCCGCTGAGGCCCTGGAAACTCTGCTCCATGTACTCGTTGTGAGGTGGCCCAGCGTGCAGCCAGCTGGCGTCATCTGGCCGGGGGTGGGGGGGTGGGGGGGGCACACAGAATAGGTGGTAAGCATGCCCCGCCCAACTGAGGCTACGAAGGCCAGACTCTTAAGATTCAGGTCTGGGCACCCCCGCTTCTGTCCCAACTCTACCACTGAGTCACGTACGGCTGAGTGACCTATGACCGCGGGCTCATCTGCCGAACCTTCTGTGCCTGTAAAACTGTTAGTTTTATAAAATCACAGCGGTCATCTCTGAATCCCCGACTTGGGGATTAAGTAGAACGGTAGGTTCAAGGCATGACGGATGATAAGGTGACATTCCTGTAGTGGTCTGGTCTGTGTCCCCTGTGCCCCTTCTCAACCACTTCCAGTGGTTCCCAGAGCCATGAACGGCCCCCCCACTCAGGCCCTCAGCTCTGGGGCCCAGCTCGCTTGTCCAGCCTCCCTTCCCACCGCTCCTTATATCCTACTCCTGCGACTCTCTGTTCCCCTTGTGCATCAGACACCTCAGCTTAGGACAGCCCTTCTCTGTCTATGAAATTCCAGTCCATCAAGGCTCAGCTCCAACAGCGGCCTCCATCTGTCCCCATCTCCTGCATCAGGCTGGGAGTCCCAGGAGAGCAGGGGTGCGGCTTGTCTGCTCTGGATCTGCCACAGCGCCCCCCACCCTTCCTTCTCTAGATTACCCCTGCTCTGACCCACTTTCTCTGTGATAAGATGTAGCCGGAGGAAGGGAACCTCTACCTACCCATTGAGCACCTGCTGACCTACTGGATACGGGCTACTTTCACCCACATGCTCATCCCTCACATCTCCCGGGCGGTGGCTGTACTAGGCCCCTCTCGAGGGAACCTGAAGTCTCTGCCTGTGTTCAGAGCCTGCTCGCTTAGCCTCAGCCAAGTGGGGGGTGGGCCACGTGACCCTGCCCACCCAGCCACACAACGGACTGAGGGCCAATCGGATCTGCTGTCCCAAGAATGAGGAGCGGAGGCCCCAAGAGGCCCTGGTTAGTTTCTGCTGCCCTGAGAGGCCACGTATCATGTACTGAGAAGCCAGAGCCTGAGGCTGACACACAGACGGGACAGGATGAGGGACAAGATGGCCCCACAGAGACAGACAAAGCACCTCCGGTTCCCGGTGAAACCCGAGATGTTTCCTGGGTTCTGGGGGACAGCCCTGCCTTCTTCCAACACTTTTCCCCTTGTACTTGAGCTAGTTTGAGGGGACCTGTGTTGCACACACCCAGGAGGTCTCCAATAGTTATCACTCCTACCTTACACGTAGTAAGACTGGGGCTCAGGAGGCCAAATAATTTGCCGAGGATAAAGGTCCAAGTAAAGCGTCAGCTACACCTCACAGCCAAGTCTGCCTGACTCCAAAGCTTGCCTCTCTACCCTACCTCAGTGCGGGGACACTAAGGGCCAGACCATCAGGGCCCCAACCCTGCCTCTTTCCCTACTCGAGGGTCAGCTCTGATGGTCAGCTTTTCGGGGTCACCTGCCAGGCAAATCCTATTCTATCTGGCTTCTGGGCCTAGATCCTTACCTTTCCTGAGAGGTAGTTTGCGGTTGAAGGTCAAGGGCAGCACGAGGAAGCGGGTCTCGCCCAGGGGTTCCCAGAATTGAAGCAGTCGAACAGTCCAGGCCCCTGGCCGCAGGGGCCGGCTCAGCGGGGGCTTGTACTGTGTGACCTCGGTGTCCGCGTCTACCGCGATGTCGTAAGATGTGGCCACCACGTAGGTGGGGTCAATCCACACCACGGTGGCCGTGAGGTTGGGGCCCCGGGCCCAGCGCTGCATGGCCACAGGCTCGTCCAGCGGCCCCAGCAACCCCCCAAAGTTCCGGAAAAGACGCTCCTTGGGGTCCCACTCGGTGCCGACCTGTAGGGAGGGAGGCAGCTGGGCAGGAGCCTGGGGAGCAAGTCCTCTCTACTCTGATGCTGCCTCTAACTCTCTGTGTGGCCTCAGGCCAGGCACTGTATCTTTCTGGGCCTCAGTTTCCCCATTTGCAAAACGAAGGGCTTGGACTAGGATTTCCTTAGTATCTTTCTCAGCTCTCAGATTTGTTCTACAGTCCTGTCCTGGCTTGCTCTGCAGTGGTGGGGGCGGTAAGGCAGAGATGAAGTTTGAGGTCCTG